AACAAGATTTTATTACATGCAAATTTGCAATAAAAGTACAACAGTCCAGCGCACATAAGCCGCTCTGTCGACTTCAGCAGTATCCAATGTACCGACCGCATGTTCTAAACTTGAAACAGACCAAGCTAGCACCTATTCTGCAAGAAAAGCAAAAATTCATTGACTTTGCTGAGCAGCAAGTGCCGCTTGAACTTTTGTCTGCAGAGTATCCAGGATCACTAAAAGAAAACACACAATTAAATAGTGAAAATATAAAATTTTTTTAACAAAACATCTGTCAAACTTTGCCTAGACCAGCCATAATTTTTTATGCACAGACATCTAAATAATTCTGGTGAACAGGTATGAGCTTGAACAGCCTTTCTCTGCTAGCTTCAGGATCTCTCTATTGAAACCTGACGGAGAAATGAGTGTAATGACCATCGAGAACAACTAGTCGATGTTGGATCATTAATGTTATAATTGTTATGATATCAAGCCATGACCAATGAGCGAATTTGTATAGTTAATAGAATCAAAATTTAGATATCTATCAATAAATGCAGTGTACAACAAATCGCTTGTCGAAACTTCAGAGAAATAAAGATAAGAAATAATTTCTTCTTCAATAGGCATGTTGTTCTTTTAAAATTCTGAAGCTACATATTCAGCAACTCAAACTATCAGATTAAATTTATTTCTTGCAGGAGTATCACGATAGCAGTTTATCAGTTTTTATCCGCTTGATAAACTCACTTATTATCGATAATCAATATGAAGATCAACGCATGAGCAAAGCAGTTACAACAAAAGAATCAAAGCTATTCGGTAAATAGCCTGAGAAAGACCTTCTCCGAGCCAATCTGTAAACGTCAATGCAACACTGACCTGATTTAAGTTTTCTCTTTTCGGTTATAATTCCTTGAATTTTTTCAATCTGGACATTCATATCAGCCACCTTTCGTTTAAAATATGACTGTGCCTTGTCGACAGACTAAATTAATAACAACAGAAAATACAAAATCTTCACCGAAACTTTCCCTACCATTTCAGCATAATATCCGGTACCTATATTTATAACAACGCTTGAAACATCTGAAAGAACAGCAGGTACGTACATCTAAAAAATACGATTTCTAAAGAAACGCACAATAATATTACTTAAAACCAATGCATGCTGAAAAACTTTCGCATGCAAAACATTTAGCATTATACGTATCACACATGCCCCACAGTCGTGAAAGAGTAGAAGGACACCAAAATCAATCAATAAATGAAACAGTAGATTATAACCTATTTTGACAATTCACGACATTTCTATTAACACGCTAAAGGTATCAGTATTTTGACAAATTAATACTTAAACAGATCCTTTTAATGGCTATCTGTACCAAAAGCGTTTGAACTCTTCGCAAGCACCACAAAAATTTAATTGGAAGCACCTGACACCCAAATTTTACTGTTCGATCCAAGTACACAAATTTGATGCTGACGTCATGCAAATATTCTCGCTATTCAACTGCTTTTCACCGTTATGTTGGACAATACTTAGAATCTTAACAGCCAGAAACCAATCATTCAAAACTGCAACGAGTTCTGCACTCTATGGAGGGGAGTGCTTTTGCGACTTATGATCATAAATTTTTCTTACATTCTATATTTCCCTTCCTGAAGAACTTATGCATCATCAGACATATTCGAACGTATGAACATGTTAACTTTGATGTTAAACGTTAGCATATAAGGGGCATCAGCTCCAGAAGGACCTAACGCCATTTCTGCTATCTTTCCCAAAAAGTTCATATCTTCGAAAAAAGGATACTGAGCAATATCAGCTGTGGCAAAACATTCAATTAACCATTTAAAAAGAAAAATTGATTAATTAGTCTTCTCATTCTTTAAAATTATCTCCACCACCTGCTGCAGAACTAAAACCAAAGTAAATTCCCACCAAAGAAATGTTTCGAATTAACTAAGATTTACTGTATTTGGCTTCGACTTAGGATACATCCTTTCTGTGTTTTTTCCCAAGTGAGTTTTACTGTTGAAGACCAAATGGTTAGAGGAAAAATGATAATTAAGTAATCTCTAAAAAATGTTAAGCATATTCTTTAAGGTGACGATTTAATCAAAAAGTCTTACCGAAGAAGTCAATGGAATGAGCAGCTCCTTCCCTTTGTTCTTTGGGTTGATGGTATTGAGACTCTCGTATGAAATCGAGAACTTTTGCTGTACCTCTTTCAACTGCTGCACCGATTCGATGAAAAACTCGAGTTCCTAAACAACAAGTTTAAAAATATTAACGATATTTTAGACTGATATTCACTTACCGTATCAACTTGCTTTTGGATGCTTGTCAGATCCGGTATCGCCAAATCGTTTACGTTTATTACCGGTGCTTTAGGGCTGGACGATGGTGTCGCCATCCTGATTCCAATACTGGGTTAAAATTCGTTCATAATAAAAAATTAATACAAATCAAATTCTTTACGTTCACTTGACTCATTGCATAAATAAAAAAGTTTGATACTGCCTGGATGCCAGGTTAGTTAACACTTTTAAGACAGGTGCCATTCTTCCATGGACTTTCTGGTGCAATAATCGTCTGCTTCGCCGTCATCAATTATTTATGAGACATGGATTGAGCGTCGAACTCACAGTTACAAAATCACTGAGCTAAAACACCGGTAGCGCAATTTGTCTTTCGTTCTTTGGAGGTAAATAAAGCAATAAAACTTAGAGAGAAAGACAGACTATAAGCTTTAGTTATCACACAGCTGCAAACTGTCGCTACAGTAAGGAACTACTGGCTTAAAGCACTGAAACATAGATCAAGGCAGCACCATAAAGACAAGGGTATCACAAATGGTGTTTATCACAGAAGAATAAGGCAAAATTTATTCCACGCACTTCTTTATATTCTCCATGAACGCAACCTTCTCATTAATGTTGCAAGCACAGGGTACATTGGATCCGAAAAGATTCGAGGCCGCGGTCTATATTTATGAACCAGGTATTGTACCTACCAACTTAACATTATCGTCATCAGTCTTCATCGACTCATTGCTGAATGAAAATGCTTCTAAAACTTTGCCAAAGACTTGTTTCCTGCGATTTGCATTCACATTAATCCAGTGAACTTTTTTAGCACATCCTGTCGTTGATTTGGAGTCTTGCTAAGGGCCGTTTACCTGCCTGGAATGTATTCGTATCCCTCTGGTCCTACGATGGTCGATACAGCTCGCAACTTGCCATGCCCACTTTTCTTCACTCGGGCAAGGACATCATAGAATGTTGTTTATGCTTTGACCCATTGAGTCAGCTTTTTATATTTTCTTGTAATCCCAACACCCATGTATGCATGTTGCACTGCCTAACGTTTATGAAAAGTTTTCAGGTTTATGGCCGTTAAGGTTCGCACCCTAAGATGGCACTAGTAGCACACACTGATCGAACAGTTTTCGCTTCAGTCACAAAAGCAGTTTCACTGATAAGAAAATTTTAAGGCTTCCAGAATCCTCCATGTTATTATTACACTTCAGCATATTTCAGTCGCTTCTTCGCTGCAAAAATGAGGGGTCCTAGCTAGACGCAGTTCTGCACCTCTTCAAATCTAGCTAGGTAACATGTTTGTTGAACATGACCTGATTCTCCTTCAGGTTTATCTTCAACCCCACTTTGATGCTGGCATTGGTCAGTTCTTGGATTTTTCTTTTCAGTTCTTCTCGCAACCCTGAGAAGATCAGAATATCGCCCTTAAGCTCAGGCAGCTTCAGTATTGCCAAATTATCTCCAACCTTCGATTTTCCCAACGGAGTGTCTAAATAGCCTCTTATAGGGCTGTCGTGAATACCTTCTGCGATACTGCATCATCCTGTATAATGCCCTAGACGATTTTGCACTTGTATGTCCTTCATTCTGGGCTAGATTCACACTAGCAGTTGCATTCTTGTAAATGATAGCAATGTGGTCTCTATGTCTTTTCTCGATTCACTAGTTCCTCAAGAAATTCAGTAAAGACCAGACGTCGATCACGATGTAGTAAGTCATAACTGGTTATGCAGAAAATTATAAAGCTAACACAACAGTAGAATTAAGTGCCAGGAGACACTGCCTGCCATGAACAAGTCCCACAGATAGAAGCACACTTCATTCTGGCAGGAAAGAAACTCCGGTATTCGAACTTGCGATCCTACAACGAGTTTAGCGTCCTATCGACTGAGCCGTTCCAAACCTAAGAACTCAGAGCGAAAAGAAAGCAGCTCACTTGTTTCCCGTCTTTGCGCATTTTTAAGTAATCTGACACGAAAGAATGACTTTGATTTTTGGTTTCTTGTTTAGCCAGCATATTTATTTGACGATAAGCCACAAAATTCATTGTTTATGGCACCTAAAAGCAAATGTGGATGGGCGAGATTTAATTGGCTCAAGATTTCGCTACAAATAGATACGCTGATAGATGCGATGCACCGCTCAAAGCTAGAAAAGGTATTTTAATTACCTTGCACTACACTCAAGCCCTTCAAAATACCTGGAGCAATTCGATACGGTGTGCTTCGTCAAATCGCTTGTGGTGTGGTGGCACAGTATCTTAGATGTATGATTTGAACTCCGTAGGTGCCAGATTTGATTTCGCTCGAGGACTTATTCTCGAAGACTTTCTCTTATTCACGAATTCCCATGAGCAAGAAATTTGCCAAAGTCTGCTTCAGACCTGAGGTGTTCAGTCAGTAGGGCATCTAACTCAGAATCGACAGGTCCTAAGTTCAAGCCTCGGTCGGGGTCACTCCCCCTTCTTCCTTCCCGAGTTGATAAATGCGTATCATTCTGTAGACTACACGCTACACTTGCCACATGGCTGTAGACTCAGTCTCTAAAAACATAAGTCACTCGGAAATAACACCGCACCATCAACTAAATGAAAAATAGGACGCCAAAAATGGTTCTATCATGAAAGGATGACCAACATTCAAATGAGGAAAAACATTTTCTTTTCGACAACTCGCTACGAAGTAGCTATTCGTTATTATATTTACCAAAAACATGTCGAAGTTCGATTGCTTGGAGATCGTGTAAAATCTTTAACACACTGAAAAATTCAAGTTCTAAGTGAATATGGTAACGTTGTAATGTGATACGATAGGTATGTTTTCCAGAAGATTTCCAGGCGATCCGACAAAGGCTTAGAATTAAACTTTACAAAACCTTATTAATCTTGCTAAATATTTTTTTATTTAACCAAGATAGTATTGAAATAGATCAGCACGAAATAAAGGAGAGGAATGCGTATCTAATGTTCATCTCAAAAAAACTGCAATTTGCAACAATTTTGATTGTCAAGGCAGGCCACATGTACAATGGGCCAAACTTCATGTAATTACTTCCTCCGCCACTATGAAGGTGTCTTGAATAAGTATTACACTGAATCGTCCTCAAACGGTCTAATGTGGTTAAAGTTACTTTTAAGCTGCCAGTAAAAGAAGAATCAGAGTAGAGAATGAACTGCAAAGTACAAAAAACTGACTCCGATAGTTCAAAGATCACACGTTTATTAGCATATCTTATAGTCGCAGTGGTACTTATGAGTCATGTTAAGCTAATCAGGTATGCTTCTTCTAGTCTGTTCATCTTGCCATTGCTTTATCCTGCTGTGAAAGCTGTCAAATCTTTCGTCTCTCAATTTTGCTTTTTGATGTAAATTTTTGCTGGAAAAACCTGGAGCTAGTCAAAGCGGAACCCAGATCAAAACAATAAGGCAAGTTTTTAGACGACTAATCATCATCAATCAATGTTTTTGCCTACGCGTTACAGAAACATTTCCTTCTGCTGACAGCAAATGAAGAACAGGTAATCGACAGTGGTCACTTGTTTAACAGATCAACTTAAGCAAGAACTTCATAAAAACAGAGGAACAGCAAGACTGTTTAACGATAAATATAGTTTCTAGTTACCCCATCTTCCCCATTCCAGTCATACCACAGAAGCACAACACAACACGGATGGACACGTACAATTAAAATGTTCAAGTTTTTTGGTACTGCATCTATTGATTAATTAATTATTTCTTTACGACCGATGATACGAAACACACTTAACTTTCAATAGAATGCATTTGTTTAATGCAAGACAAGTGATATCGTGAAGGAAACGATCCGTATGTTCAAGGATTCGCGGCAACACAACACATCGTATAAAACGATAACTTCATATATTTCATGTCAGTGATTAAAAAGAAAGCTGATGAAAAGAAGAGCATGACTAAACTAAAATTAAAAGGTAAACATGGACTGAACTATAATAAAAATTTATGGGTCCAGTGTAAAGCATACGGGGTAATCTCTCAAAAAAAAACTGTCGATATTCAGGATCAACAGCAATGAACGATTTCTACATTCTGTTTCAACAATTTAATCATAACAAACATTACACGATTAAATAATCCGTACTACATACAAACTGAAACGCTAGCAGATCGAAAGCAGAACCACCACATCACTCAAGTCGATAATAATGTTCATGAAGTTACGGCTTCATCCACAGTGTTCTGTACTCAGGTACGTTTCCACCAAATACGCAAAGGAATTGATAAAAGCTGTTCAGTTATGGGAACATTGAAAAGCAGCATAAGCGTGGAAACAATTTGTTTACGTAACCTGTGTATGGCAAGGAATGAACCGACATTTGATAAGATTTAGTATAAATCTTATATGCTGCGTCGTATATCATAAATAGTATTGATCGTATGTGCTGTTTCAAATATGTCAAACATTCACAAACAGAGCTATTCTGATATTCAATTTTAATTTAAATCAAATGACGATGAGAACTGCAAATGCAAACATGTCGCAGCACATCAGCAATGAGCATCAGGTTTAAAGACAATTACTTTTTCGAACTAGTAGCATCTATATGCAAACTCAGGCTCAAGTGCATGGCGCATTATGGCACAGTGATCTGCTTCTATCCCCGGAGACGCTGGCTTCGAATCCTGACATCTCATCTTCATGGCTCTGCTTTCGGGTCGAGGAATTCAATCCCGATAAATATAAATTGTTTTTTAACCGCCAATTTGATTAAGCAGAACTCACTTTAACTTGATTCGCTGCTAACATCCCAGTAATGGATTGGTATTTCGCTGACTTGTGAACAATAAGGCATGAGGTGCTCTGGTGTGGTCAAATCGCAATGAGCCAACGATACGGCAATGCCTTTAATGCCAGCGCCTCAATGGCTACAGCTCGGCTTGACAAATCTGATAGCTGTTGATTTAATATCATAATCAGCCAAAGATTTAATCCCTTTCGTTGCTGTATGCATGCTGTCAAAAGAATTGCTGCAACCTTCCATGTCACGCGTTGTCACATCTTGAAACAGTCTCATACTTCAGCTTCTCTTTTTAATATTTCCGGCTGATAACTTGCAGCTG